GATTTATAAAGTCTATATCTTAAAATTCTAAACCCTAAAAAATATTTTGACCCCTAAAACTCCCTAAACCCTCATAACTAAACCCTAATAGAACATAAATAACACAAACATAAATAATATAAAGAAAAAATAATTTTGAAAAAGTGGCATTTTTGTAAAGATTTCAAAAATGTGGCATTTTTGTAAAGTGACACTTGAAAAGTGGCATTTTTAAAAATCGTAATTTCCAAATTTTCTAATAGGTCTAAAAGATAAGATTAAATTAGCCAAATAGAAATGATAAGATAAATTCACGCTTACGAAGAATTAGAATTATAAGATTTAGTATTTTTAGTTATCACATAACCAATAACATTTGATTAAAATTGGTTTTGATTTCCAAATCCATCAAAATATACAAACCCATAATCTATATTTGATCTCTAGTCTAGAAGTACTAAGATATATATGTCAAAACTCGATTAATTAACTAACACAATCACGATTTGATGAATTATAACTTTGTTTCTATTACTGCTGATTTGCTACATACTCAGATTTTACTTTTGCATGTGGCATTGTGGTATATAAGGAAAGGGAACGCCTCTAATGTCTCTCCTCCTTATGTAGCATTTGCCTATATCCTTACTATTGAAAACCCATTGTTCTTGTAGAAATGCTTGGGCCATTGTTGATTGACTTTCTAGTTTCGGTAGCCACTTTAAAGGATTATTTTAGTTTAGAGGATTATTTTGACCTTCTTACATGAAACACCTTGAAATGTTACAGCTTCACTTGTGCCAGAGATGGTGCACTTGTTGTTGGTCCCAGGGCCGTGTCTATGAAGATAAAACTAGAGGCATTCGCCTATAACCCTTTTTTTTTGTTAAAATTATTATGGCCTTAATTTTTGTTTTAATAACACATATTAGATCCAAATATATAAATAGTATGCTTTAAATTAACTAGAACCACAAGGTTTACTAAAACAGAGAGTAACTATAACAATTAAACACTAAGATAACAAAATTAAGTTAATGAATTCATTCAATTTATTTTCATCACACCATTTTCATCATTGAGATATTAAACTTTTTAGTATGTCTTTTTATATCATTTGAAATGGTAATGATTAATATTTTGTAAACTTTTATTATATATGATATGAATTGATAGTATTTTTAACGGTTTCCGGCCTTCGTAACTCTAGGAACGGCTCTGGTTGGTCCCAATAACCTAAGATCAGTAAACTTGTATTGGAAAGTAAAGTTATAACACAATCTTCTTGAAGTCTTTAGTTTTTCAGTTGGTTTATAACTTCAATCTCAGCTTATATGGAGAAGAGAAGACCCATTGCTAGGATTCAGAGAGATCATAGTGTTTGGATCTGATGGCTCTTGAGTTTTAATTACAACTAGCTCTTCGCTGTCTACACAACAAGAAGACCAAAGTTGCGCTGTGATGTTCATGAAAAAATGACCTTCTTCACTGTCTTTCGGGATGCTAAAGATTGTCTGTCTGGTTGACCAAACGAGACGCATTGCCCACATGGACGATCAAATTCGTAATCATTGAAGTTTTTTTATTTTGTTATTACTTACTGTATTATACACACGTTTCCTCTTGTGAGATCCTTAATATTTATTTAGTTTATCAAAAGTATTTACTACTACAACATCAGCTAGGTCTAGAGGGAAGTTGTGAGCATTACTCTAATGAACTTTAGAATTAGAGCAATGAATCAAAAAAGTGCTCAAAGCTTTATAG